GCGGCTGCCTGAGGAGGAGTTCGGCCACTTCTACACGCAGGACTGCTACGTCTTCCTCTGCAGGTGCCGCCCGCTGGCCTCCCTCTCCCGAGCGCCTCCCCTGGAGCCGGCGGCTAGGCCTCTGCTCACTGCCCTCCACCCTGGCAGGTACTGGGTGCCCGTGGAGTACGAAGAGGAGGAGAAGGAGGACAAAGACGAGAAGGCAGAGGGCAGGGAAGGCGAGGAAGCCGAGGCGGAGGAGAAGCAGCCCGAGGAGGACTTCCAGTGCATCGTGTACTTCTGGCAGGGCCGCGAGGCCTCCAACATGGGCTGGCTCACCTTCACCTTCAGCCTGCAGAAGAAGTTCGAGAGCCTCTTCCCAGGCAAGCTGGAGGTGCGCCCCCGCCCCACACCTTCGCCTGCAGAGGGTGGAGCTTGGGCCGCTGAAGAGCAGACGGGGTCCGGGAAGCGCGCTGCCCCTGACCCTTCCGCGTTCCCAGGTGGTGCGCATGACTCAGCAGCAGGAAAACCCCAAGTTCCTGTCCCACTTCAAGAGAAAGTTCGTCATCCACCGGGGCAAGAGGAAGGCAGCCCAGGGAGCCCTGCAGCCCAGCCTCTACCAGATCCGCACCAACGGCAGCGCCCTCTGCACCCGGTGCCTGGCTGGGAGGGGGCCTGGGACGGGTGGAGTGCCACCCTGACTCCTGCTGACAGTCCACCTTCCCCAGGTGCATCCAGATCAACACTGACTCCAGTCTCCTCAACTCCGAGTTCTGCTTCATCCTCAAGGTGGGGTTGTGGGTGTGAGCCAGGACCCTGTGGGCCAAGGTGCTGGTGGGGGCTGGCCTTACCTGAATCCCCTGCACACTCCCCAGGTTCCTTTTGAGAGTGAGGACAACCAAGGCATTGTGTATGCCTGGGTGGGCCGGGCATCAGACCCTGACGAAGCCAAGCTGGCAGAAGACATCCTGAACACCATGTTTGATGCCTCCTACAGCAAGCAGGTGACTAGGTGGGCAGGTGAGCAGGAAGGTGAGCCGGGACAGACAGACCCTGAGCTGGGCCACCTTTCCTGCAGGTCATCAACGAGGGTGAGGAGCCTGAGAACTTCTTCTGGGTGGGCATCGGGGCACAGAAGCCCTACGACGATGACGCGGAGTACATGAAGCACACCCGGCTCTTCCGGTGAGGCCAGGCTCTGCTTCCCCTTCCCCTCCTCAGTCCTGGTTGCTGCTCCTGACCTTCGGCTTCACCTTGACGCTTCACCTTCAGGTGCTCCAACGAGAAGGGCTACTTTGCGGTAACTGAGAAATGCTCTGACTTTTGCCAAGATGACCTGGCAGATGATGACATCATGTTGCTAGACAATGGCCAAGAGGTGAGAACCCCCCCAACACTGACCTTGCCTGTTCAAGGAGCTTGCCCCCTTGTAAGTGGGAGTTCTGGGGCCACACGGGGGGGTTCCCACGCCACCCATGTGACTGCCCTCACCCCTCCTCCCCACTATCCCCACAGGTCTACATGTGGGTGGGAACCCAGACAAGCCAGGTGGAAATCAAACTGAGCCTGAAGGCCTGTCAGGTGAGCCAGGTGGAGGGAAGGCCAGGACGGGCCCACAGGCCTGAGGAGCCAAGGCTCACTGTCCTCCTCACCAGGTGTACATCCAGCACATGCGGTCCAAAGAGCATGAGCGACCGCGCCGCCTGCGCCTGGTCCGCAAGGGCAATGAGCAGCACGCCTTCACACGCTGCTTCCATGCCTGGAGCACCTTCCGCAAGGCCCTGGCCTAGGGCCGCCCGTCACAGCCCCAGGCCTGGGTGAGAAAGAGGAAGGGCCCTCTGTCTGCTACTTGCTATTGGAGAATGCGCGCAGGTGACAGCCCCTGGTCCTGCCACCTTCCAGTGCTACAGCCCCCAGCAGCACACAGCCCCAAGCAGCACCAGTGAGGGTGACCTGATGGGTACCCTGGGGGGGTCTGGGAGATCGGGCTCCCTCCAGTGTGAGCGCACGTGTGAAATCCCCACCCTTCACCGCCAGGGAGAAAGCAAATGTGGTTGCTCTTTAAGAGGTATTAAATGCTTTTATTTTCGATATTAAAAATCAGTATTTTTAATATTAAAACGGCGCTAATTTTTAACAAAACGACAGAAAAAAACCCCAAGGTACAATCTACAGGGAAACCTATCTTGACCCCCCTGACACACACACTCATACCTGACTGGGCCCAGGTCATGGGTGCCCAGCGGAGCTCCCAGTTTCTCTCTCTCTCTCTCTCACACACACACACACGCACACACACACACGTGCACCCATGCACAGGCTGGGGGGCTGGCCCAGGAGCAAGTACCAAAATAGTTTTAGAAACAACTGTCCAGCCCAGGCGTTAGAAAAATACTCTGCAAAGGGAGGGCGCAGAACGGCGTGTGGAGTGGGAGGTGGCACAGGGTGCCTGGCCCCACCTGTCCCCTCCCCAGGGCAGCCGACTTCCTGTTGGAGGATCCAGACTCCTGGGCCAAGGCCTGGGCCCACACCCTGGGGCTGGTGCTGCTCCAGGGCCCGGGGTCAGCAGGGATGGGACGGCAGGTCCCACTGGCACCCACAGGTTAGCAGGTGTGGGTCTATGTTAAGGGGCCGGGCAGGAGCCAGGGATCCAGGACCCCGGCTCTGAGCAGGGCAGGCGATGGCTGGGGTAGCGCTGGCCTTCCTGGGAGGAGAGAAGAGGGATCAGCAGAAGACAAGGAGGCCCAAGATGGCAGGCAGGAACTTCAGTGCCAGCCTGAGACAGGCTTGCCGTGTCTAGGCTTGGTGTCCAAGTTCCCCACAGGACGCACTGAAGCCACAGGGGGCACCAGATGAAGAGAGAGTTGGGGGCATCTGTACCCAGTTCAGGGTGGGGCTGTGGCCTCCAGTTGGATGGATGGGGCACTCGGCAAAATGGGCTGGGCAGACCTATGGGCCCCAGAACTAGGTGAAGGTCCACACGGATCCTCAAGCGGAGGCAAGTCAACCTCTGACTGGGCTCAATGTGCTGGCCCAACTGGTAGGACTTGACCTTGTGACCTCATCTGTGAAATGGGCTAGCCAAACCAGCCCGCTCCCCCAAGCTGTTGCCACCTCTAAGTGGTTTAATTTGGTCTTAGTCCAAATACCACCCACAACGTCAAGGGTTGATGGGCTGGCTCTGCTTTTCTAATACCCAACTATGAAAATCACGCTGTGTGAGCCCCTGGAGGCCCCGTCAGAACACCCAGTGGAAGGCAGTCTGGCTTCAGGGAGTGCATCCATCACAGGGGCCTGCCAAGGTCCCAGGTGCAAGACCCGGGGTGGGGGTGGGGGTCCTGTAGGGCCCAGACTGGGGCTGAGGAGTGGTCGCTGCTGAGCAACAAGGACCAGGCAGACCCAGGGTCCGCCCCTGCAGCACCTCATTTAATCAGGATGGCACAGGCACGGGTTTCACCCTCCGCCAGGTTCCTCAGATTCTTCTCAGATTCTTCCGAAGAGCTGTGAGATGGGGGTGGTGATCAGGGGGGAGGGCGGCGCTGGGAGCCCCTAGGGGCCCTGGGGAGGGATGCTGGGGAGATGGGGCAGCCCCTCCTGTGGACCTGCCTGCTGGCCTCACCCCAGGAAATCCTTCACATCCTCTACCGTGACGTCCCCTGTCGTGTCAAGGGTGGTGTCAGCACTGGTGGCAGAGTCGATGGACATGGGCGAGAGTGTGGCCTCCGGTGGCTCTGAGGTATCTGCAGGGAGAAAGCAATCAGCCCCTGCCAGGGCCCCTCAGCACCCTCTACCTGGGGCGTGGGACAGCCCATGATGGGACATGGCACCGACAGGCACATACCCACCCTCTCCTGCCTGGCCAGGCCCATCTGTGGATATCCTGACCCCGCCCTGGGGCGCCACTGAGCCAAGGCCTGCCCCCGTTTCCTGCCCTCTCACCAGTTCCTTTGCTGTGGGCTGGATCAGGGCTTCCGCCACAGCTCTGTGGGGCCAGGATGATGCTTGGGGTCCCATTAGCCTGGCTCAGCTTGGGTGACTCTTGGAGCCTGAAGATGCAGGGGTGGAGCCATGACAAGGAACACAGGCAGGTGCCCCAAGGCTAAGTGCTAAACCCTGCCCTCCCACTCCCATGTGCAGAAGAGACAGGAGTTACACCAGGGAGGGCAGGTCCTGGGATGGGATGAGACAGCCCTGGTCACAGGCCCCCCCAGCGAGGGGCTGTCCCTCCACACACCTGGCTCGGGTGGAATTTCGGGGCCAGTTGATGTCGAGAGAGCAGACAGGCTCTGTGATGTTCCGTGCACTTAGGGAGAAGCGCTCAAATTCTGACGGGGAGATCAGGTAGAAGCCTGGTGGACAGGAGAGAAGAGAGAGGAGCACAATTAGAGACGATGCCAATTGCAGCCCCTTGGCCTGTACCCAGCCCAGCTGGGGTGGCCCATCCTGCTGCCCACTTCCAGCTCTCCTGGCCCCGCTTGGGTCATCTGCCTGGGGAACCCTCAGCACCCTGCCCCGCCTCACCCTGGCCGTGACGTGTGAAGACACATGAGGCGATGCCGCTGATGTCCTCCTTTCGGATACAGGAGTAGTGCACCTGGGGCCGCAGGCCAGGCACTGAGAAGACGTGGACGTCGCCCAGGTTGGTGAGGCAGGCCAGGCAGGTCTCAGCATAGTCCTCACAGGCCACACTGGCAAACGTGGCCAGTGCCACCTTGCGTACGCGACAGCCCTCATGGGCTGTCAGCTTGAACTTGGTCTTGGCACTCACCTTGGGCAGTGTGAACACCTGGAGGCAGGCAGCCAATGAGCACAGAGCCTGGCTCCATCTTCATCCTCAGAGTCCCTCCCCTCATGGCTGCTGACCTGCCAGCATCGACCCCAAGTTCCACAGGCCTCAGTCCCAACCTGCTGCCCCACGATCAAGGTGCCCATGGCCTCCCTCCGCCCCGGGTTCACCTAGGCTCCATACAGCACCCAGTCACTCCCAGACCCCTGTCCACCTGCAGCAACACCACTCACACAGCATGCTAAGCTTATGTGGTTGGCACTACCGCCCAGCCATAAGTCATTGCAGGGCAGAGCCCCTGGGACTGGACTGAGGGAGCCCCAGCAGGGTACAGGAACCTTATGGGGAACAGCGAGGTAGGAGGGTCCTGGCTAAGGGGGCATGGGGTTCTCCAGGGGGGGTCCCTGCTGGCTGGTGTCTCAATGGGACAATAAGGTCTTAGAGGTCTCAGCAGGCAGGGCAGGAGCTCTGGAGGGTCCATGGTGTCCATGACAGGGCCGAGCGGGGGTCTCCTTAACCGATGGCGGCTCACCTTGAACTGCTCCTCAGATGCAATGAGCACGGCGTGGCCACCCTGCATGTCAGGTGCCTGTGCCAGGTCCCGCGAGGCCTCATAGGGCTCGGGAAGCGGGCGGCCGCGTCCGTCCAGTACAGCGATGGCCACCACAGGTGCCCGGTGCATCAGCTGCACCTCCTTGCCCAGCACGGCCTCCACCGCCCGCTCAGGCCGCTTGTCGCCACCCACTGCTGCTGCTGGTACCTCCAGTGCGTAGGCAAACACGGAGCCCGAGTTGGTGCCTGCCCACATGGTCGGGCCGTGGTGGGCCGCTGAGGGGGATGGGTCCATGAGGAGGGCGCTCCCTGCAGGCCAGGCTTTCCCCCTGAGGCCCCCACATGCTGCAGGTCCTTCCCTGCCTGTCCTGCACCTCCACTTCCTTACTGTTTACACCCCAGGACTCAGGGCTGATGCCCTCCAATCCCACACTGCTCCAGTGATCCCAACCAGCCTCGTGGCCTGAGGCGCCAACTCTGTGCTGCTGACTCCAGGTGAATCCCAGGGTGCAGCCCTTCTGCAGAAGCATGGACAGCATTTGGGGCATCTGCATGGGGTGTCAACAGGCGCCCGAACTGGACCCTGGTCCCTCCAACCTCACCCTGCGGCACGTCAACCCCATCTCAATAAACGCAGTTCCATCCTTGTGTGACTTAGGCCCCACCCTGCAGGCCTGACTCCTCTCTCCACCCCCCTACACCCCATGGCTAGTCCCCTCGACACTCTGGGAATCAAGCAGTCACACCACAGGTAGCCGGGGCTCTTACTTCTCCCCCACCCTCTTTGCTCTGTTCCCCACATGGCAGCCAGAGGGAGCCTTTCAACACAGAAGCTGCCGGGCCTGCGGAAACAAATGGAGGCTGCCCAGAAGCCATCGCCTGCTCTATCTGTAAGAACGGAAGCTCTCACAACAACCTTTGGAGGAGCAGCAGAGCCAAACCTGGCAGGCACAAGGG